AAAAATAAAAGATTGAAAAAAAATCCATGTGCTCTACTGACTAAGCCAGCCAGGTGCCCTTTGTTCAGATTTATTCTTGTGTTTCATGACTTTGGGACTAAATATATATTTTTTATTCATTTTTAACTGGTTACAGCTAATATAGAAAATAGTGTTAATTTTTATATCTGTGTCTTATATTTATTCATCATACCAAATGTTTTCCTAGAGTGTATTGGTTTATCCAGATGTGCAAATATATGATTTAAATAGAAATAATTCTGACTCTTCCTTTCCAGTGTTCACATCAATTATTTTCTAGCCCTGTTGTTTGGTTTACATTTCTTTTTTTTTTTCTTTTTAAAGATTTTATTTATGTTTTGACAGAGAGAGAGACAGTGAGAGAAGGAACATAGGCAGGGGGAGTGGGAGAGGGAGAAGCAGGCCTCCCGCGGAGCTGGGAGCCTGATGGCGGGGCTTAATCCCAGGACCCTGGGATCTTGACCCTAGCCGAAGGCAGATGCTTAACGACTGAGCCACCCAGGCGCCCCATACATTTCTAAAACCATGTTAAATAATTTCAGTAAGTGTACATGTCCTCATCTCTTTCCTGATATAAACCGAGGCTTCAGTATTTCAATGAGGAGCATATTACCCGTGGGGTTTGGCAGACAGCTTTGGTCATAGTAGAGGCTGGCCTTTCTATCTTTATATTAATTTTATTAGAAATGACAACTAAGTTTTATCATATGCCTTTTGGATGTAATCATATAATTTTTATCCTTTAACTTACTGAGTAATGAGTATTTCCTGGTATTACAGTATACTTTATTACAACATAAATTCTATTTTGCTATAATATGAAAGCAAACTATCCCATGTGTTAAGTTTTAAGACAAACCGTCTTGTAGAGTGGGGCGCCTGGGTGGCTCAGTTGTTGAGCATCTGCCTTCGGCTCAGGTCATGATCCCAAGGATCCTGGGATCGAGCCCTGCTTCGGGCTCCCTGCTCTGTGGGAAGCCTGCTTCTCCCTCTCCTGCTCCCCCTGCTTGTGTTCCCTCTCTCGCTGTGTCTCTCTCTGTCAAATGGATAAAAACTTTAAAAAAAAAAAAAGACTCTTGTAGAGTTAATTTTTAGCATTTTGATTGAAGGGCAAAGTTGAGGATGTAATAAATCTGAAACCTTTCTGCGTATCTAGGAAAATCCAGCTATTTATAGCTTGGGTTATGGTCAGTTCCATTGCAGAAGACAGCTGTGGAGACTGACAGCTCTCTTGCTCAGGAGATAACATTGAACTGTTGGAAACCAGGCATGTACAAGAGAATGTTTACCCATGATATCACAATATATAATTAGAAAAGTGTACCAGAAGGTTTGCAGAATACAATCACAAGTAGAATCTGATAATTGGGGTTCTTTGTTTTGTTTTATCTCCAATTCGACATTTTAATATTCTTAGGCTCCAGCTTTTGCAAAAAAATGTTTATGAATTGCTCAGAATCTCATTGCTCACAACACTGACTGTTATTTAGA